GAGGGGCGTCATGTCTCATAGTGGGACCGTCCATGTTCTCCTCTCTGTGGACTGGCTGCTCTAATTGGGATCATCGTCCTCAAGGCCTGGTGGGCCAGGATGTGCTCCACTCTCTCCTCCTCCCCCTTCATCTGCTCCCGTGTGCTCTGATCAGATATGTCCCTTTCCCGGAGCTGCAGATTCAATGCCGTCCTTTGAAATAAATTATTCTGAGGAGCCACTCTGCTCCTTGTATCAACAATCCTAAATCATCAAAACCCTATTATTATAACCCACTGAGGCTTGTATTATTTTTATTGTGTAGATGAAGAAATTAAAGTTCAGAGAACAATTTACTCTGAGTCATACAAGAAGCATATGGGGCTGTAGAAATTTAAAACTAGGTAATCTATGTCAAGACATTTGACCCTTACTACTACCCTTCACTAAGATCATGTACTTGATGGATATAAGAAATGTAAATTTATAAAATTTATGAATAGCACATGCATAAATCTAAAATAAATACACTCAAATTCATTGAATAAATTTAAAAATACTACAATTATATTTTCAATCTTTTTTTGTAAATTGGAAAAATTCAGAAAAATAGCCATTCCTCAAATGTTTGATAAATTGAATATAGGGAAAACAAAATAAATAATTTGTTTACTTCTGCATTCCACTAGCAAAAATAAATAAATAAAAAGAATAGTTTGAAAATGGTTACGAGAGAAAGAATAATGTGTTTATTTGTTTACCCTATTATTGAATCTAACGTTCAATTCATTTCCAGCATACTCTTACATTAAAATGAAATGTGATTGTAATGGAAAGCGTCTATCTTTGGTAATAGGACAAACACAGGTTTGAAGCCATTATTGAGAGCTGGTTGTAATAAACAAATGAATTAATCACATTTCACATGATTCATATAGTCCCCAAATCCTCTAAGTTCATTAAAATCAGCTAAAATCAGCTTCCCAGTTGAAATAAATCGTCTCACTGCATTCTTGCTCCTTTTGTCCCTTTCGTAGATTCATCATCTTTCATCCTGTAGATTTCAACTCAGCAACCCTAAATAAGGTTTCTAAACTATAAATCTTTAAGGGAGTTCACTTACCAACCCATTGCCATTGAGTCATTCCTATTCATAGAACCTGTGTAGGGTGTCCAAATCTGTCTGTCTGTACAGAAGCAGATAGCCAGGGGTGAAGGTAATCCTAAAACCTGGGTATAAATATGATAAGGCAATGATATGAAAGTGATAAACCAATGAAAATCCATGACTTCATTAGTGAGCTAGTTAAGATTTATTGTGACAACCTGGCCAATAAACACATGTGCGAGTAATTGAAGGGTAGAGAGATAAATGGATCAGTGAGCCTTGCCTTTCTAGTTCTCGGGTCTCTTGCTTTCTGATGGTTGGACCAGGGTGCAGCTGCCTTAGCTAGTTCCCTGCTGGCAAGGCTCACTTCCTGCAAGACATCCCCGAGGAGAAGCCACATGGACCTACCCTGATGCAGC